CAAAGAATTTTTAGTAAGTACAACTTATCATGAACAATGTATAATATATATACTTCTTCCACAAGAGTTCTGATATGACTTAAACTTGTTTTTTCAGGTTGTGAGCGGCGTAAATCGGCAACGGGCATCAAAACCCGCGTATCCATACAAAAAAGGGCCTTTGGGATATGCACGCTTAGAACAAAAAATAGTAAGTATATATAAATGCTTTAATATGATATAGTTACCAAAAATAGTAAGTATATATAATAGGATATGAATGCTTTATTATCCGTCTTAATGCATAGTTAGAAGAGGAGAAAAGTGATGCGACATCTCTTCCGGACCATGTTGTATGGATGGCCGCCCGTGTGGGAAGAGATGGAGTCGTTCAGGAAGAAGTTCAAGAAGTATTTGAACAATGTGTAAGTACAACATTAGTTTTGTCAGTAACTGATCAAAAGTGTATAATATATTTATATATGCTTTTATCTATATTTCAGGAGACTCTATCCCAGAGTATAACTCCAGCTGAGGACGATGATCGCAGGAGCATACTGAGTCGGGTGTTAAATATCCATGAGTATTCTGGGCGTGTGACGGGTAAGGGATTTGGTGTCACTCCATCAAAACTGTATAAGCAGCCAAAGAAAAAAATCCTAGCAATAAAGAAGTGATGGATACGTTGGAGGAATTGAAAGCTCAGATTCGCGAATTATAGAAGGACAAAGAAAGATACATGTCGGAAAGGCGCGGTCCAGAGGGTAAAGATACTAGTGACAAAGATAGTATCAATTGTCCGCAGAAGCTTCCAGAGGTAATTGTATATATCACATTGAAATTAATTTAGCACAATTTTCTTAATTGACACATTAATCGGCACCATTATTTGTTTAGGGCATTTCACCTTGTCGACTATATTTATCGTCACCGACTTATCGCATGGTTGGCAAGGGAAAGGTGCATAACACTATGGGAGACTTACTTCACCATAAACCGCTCCCTGCTGGATTTTTGAAAGTATCAGTTAGGGGTGGACAATCGGTAACCATCCGATGTTACCCGACCGATCCAAAATGGATTTTGCAATACGGGTCAGTTTAATTCAGATGACGGATATTTCTGGACCGTTTGATTGGATATTAATGGATATGGATGGTAGGATTCTGTTTGTAATTTGGGACCCATCGGAATCCGAAACCGACCGCTTCTTCTTCACAAACACGCTTCTTATTCACATCTCTATTTCACATTACACAGACACGCTCCGCTTCTTCTTCACAGGGGTTAGGGTTTGAAGACACGCTTCTGCTTCTTCTTCACAGGGGTTAGGGTTTGAAGACACACTTCTTCTTCACAAGGGTTAGGGTTTGAAGAAACCCATCTCAATTTCAATGGCTTTGCATAAACCTTTCCAGTTACCACTCCAACAACCTTCGACGGTCGTCGCTCTCCAACTTTCAGGTTAATTCTCTCTCACTCTCTCTCTCTCTCTCTCAACTAACACACAAACCATCATCCTTGTTGGTTTCAGGTTAGGGTTAACGCAGCTCCATCATTGTCTCTCGGTACCGACATCATCGTCTCTCTTAAGCTTTTGATTCAGTTATGTGACCATCCATATATTTTGTTAGATTATGTTAAATGGTCAATATTGATTTTTTGTTGCCTTTCCATCTTGTCATATAATCGGTATATTTTATTGCAGGTTTATGTGTAAAGATTCAGGTTCACAAGGGTTAGCAAGGGTTAGCAGTATTATTATTATTTGACTTCCAAATTTACTCAGGTGTTTATTCTCTTCAATGTTCACTCCAATTACTATTATTATTATTTGTGTTAGTTGCTTATTTGTGTCTATGTTTGGTTATTCATTTGTGTTTATTTTTGGCTTTACTTATTTGCTCAGTTATGGAGCAAGACACTTCAATTACCAATGAACATTCTCTAACCTCACCTAATGTACCAACAACCACAACACCTAATGTACCAACAATCGCAACACCTATTGAACCATCCACAAATCTTCTGCCTATTCCTAAGAAAAGAAGACCTAATGCTAATGGTAATAGAAAGAGATCCGAGGTTTGGGATTGCTTTAACCTTATTCCTAATAGTGACCCCCCTACTGCTGCCTGTAAATACTGCCATCAAATGTACATGTGTGACTCTAAGAAACATGGAACTTCAAACTTAAAGAGTCACATGAAAACATGCCCTAAGTATTCGTTGAACTTGTCAACTGACCCCACCCAAACAATCTTGACATTTTCAACAACTCAGGGAGTTTGGCTGGTTCCAACAAGTTCTAGGTTAGATCCTGTAGGTTGTAGAAAGGGGTTAGCTTATTTTATCATTTTGGATGAGAAACCCTTTATTACAGTTGAAGGAGAGGGGTTCAAGTACTTTTGTAAGCAATTGCAGCCCCAATTTTCTATACCGTCAAGGAGAACCATAGCTAGGGACTATTTTCAATTATATCTTGATGAGAAAGTGAGGTTGAAGGCATTCTTTAAATCTGATTGTAGTAGGGTGGCAATAACAACAGATTGTTGGACATCTGTCCAAAATCTAAACTATTTGACCCTAACTGCCCATTTTATTGATAGGGATTGGAATTACCAAAAGAGGATTATTAGCTTTACCGTTATTCCAAATCACCGTGGTAGAACGGTTGGTAAGAAGGTTGAGGATGTATTGAAGGAGTCGGGGCTGAGAAATGTTTCTACCATTACGGTTGATAATGCGGCATCAAATGATGTTGCTGTTAAATATTTAGAGCAAAAAGTAAGAAATATGAATGGACTTTTAATGGATGGGTTTGGGTTTCACATGAGGTGTTGTGCTCATATACTGAATTTGGTTGTTAGAGATGGATTAAAAGTAGCCAGTACCTCAATTTCAAGTGTTAAAAATGCTATTAGGGTTTTGAGATCTTCACCCCATAGAGCTTTAAAGTTCAAGGAGTGTGTGGAATATGCCGGGATTACATGTAAGAAGTCAGTATGTCTTGATGTTTTAACTAGATGGAACTCGACATATTTGATGTTAGATGCAGCTGAGAAATTTCAAACTGCTTTTGATAAACTAGAAGATGGGGATGAAGACTATAGGGATTTCTTTGACGGTGATTCCCCCTTAGTAGTCAAGATTGGGATAATGTTAGAGTTTTTATTAAGTTTTTGAAGAAATATTATGAAGCGACAAAGGTTTTTTCTGTTTCAACAAAAGCAAGTTTGCATACTCCTTTTCCATTCTTGGCTGAAATCTACATTGAACTTAAGAAATTAAACATGAACCTTAATGGATTGTTTGCAAATGTAGCACAGGACATGTTGGAAAAGTTTTGTAAGTACTGGGTTGATATCACTAAGATGAACCAGCTCCTTTATTTTGGTATTATTTTTGATCCCCGGTATAAGTTAAGATATGTGGAATGGTGCTTTGATGATATGTATGGAAAAGATTCAGACACTAAGAAATCCGCATTAAAAGATATCAATGACAATCTTTCAAAGATGTTTGATCTTTACAAACAAGCCCATGACATAGCTGGAGGCTTAGTCACATCTGTTGCAGCTGCTGTTTCTCATGGTGAAACGGCTGCCAATGACGAATTACCCACATATAGCTAGAGAAAATGCTTTTTAGGAACATTTAATGTCTATTGATTCAGTGGAAGAAGAAACCGAGCTTCAAAGTTATATTGCTGGAAAATGTTTAACTTTCAATGAAAAAGATAAAGAAAAGTTCGACATTCTTTGTTGGTGGAAACATAATGCTGGTCAATATCTGGTTCTGTCCCAAATAGTTAGAGATATCATGCCTACACAAGTTTCAACTGTGGCTTCTGAGAGTGCATTTAGCACGGGTGGGAGGGTTTTAGAGGTATACAGAAGCTCTCTCAAATCAGAAATGGCCGAAGCTTTAATTTGTACTCAGAACTGGTTGAGACCTACCTTTTACCAATTCAAAGGCATGGAATTTAACGAGGATTATGAGATATCTGAAGATGCTTTACTAGGTATTGCGTCTATTTTTCTTTAAGTGTAATTTTTTATTCTGTTTGTAAAATGTTAAAGTTAAGGTTTTCTTATTATGTTTGTAATTTCTTATTATGTTTTAAATATATTTTAGGATTTGCTGAAACTTCAGTCGGAAGTGGAGCACTATCTTCTTCTCATACTCAGTCACAGACTCCGGTCTATACCTGAAAAACATATTCAGGTTCAATTTCCTTGTATTTTTGTTCATGTTTTTTGTTAAATAAAACATGTATTCTTATGTTTTTCCTTATATTTGCAGCAGGCACTTTTTGAAATTTTTTGGAGTCATGAGTGACTCGTATTTTGAATCCATGTATAACCAACCGAACACTTTTTGAAAGAATATCTAGAAACTTTTGATGAATCCATGTATAACCAACCAAACACTTTTTGATGAATCCATGTAATACCGGGAGCTGTCCCTTTGGTGATGACTGTCACTTTGCTCACGGAGATGCAGGTAATAGGACTGGTTTTGGTTTCTTTTATGATTCTATTGTTTTGTTCCGCTCAAGATCTGTTTTTACATTTTTACGTTTGAAGGCTTGGTTGCTGTTATGCTCGATGTTATGCATATTTTTCTCATCAATGCTCACCCTTCCGAGAATGTTCTGTATGTTCAGGTTAGCTAGTGTGAATACTATATCGTTTGTGTCTTGTGCATGTAATGGTTTGGTTCTCATAGATGAGTCTTTGCAGCTTCTTCCTGCAGTGGAAACTCTTGATCTTAGTAGGAACAAGTTTGCAAAGGTTGATAATCTGCATCACTGTACCAAATTGAAGCATTTGGACCTTGGTTTCAATCACCTCAGAACATTTGCTCCCTTCACCCAGGTTGGTATTCGGTTTAAATCTTGCGTTGCTTACAACCGGCGTGTATAGGATGGCAATATTTTGCATCTTGCATTACAAGTTAGAATATTAAAGATTTTGACTTAGTTGACTGTATCGTATCATTGGCGAACTTGAGTGAGTTTATTTTGTGCTTATCTCCCTTCTTAACAAAGACTTATCCCAAGAACCGAAGTATAGGCCAGACGCGAGAAGTAAATCTCTTATGTAAGATTCTGCTGGATCATTTATTTGCATCAATTCAGACTCAGAAGGTTCATATTTCATAGTGAAGTCCTCAACATCAACATCATCATAATCAAGTTGATTGAGTTGTCTTCTTAGCTCTGACATAATCAACAAGCAAAGAAATATATCAGAAAGAGTTTTAAAATATATTCATACTGCATTGCTCAGTGCTTGAAACTTAGAGTTGTATCATACCATTTAAACCAGAGCTGATATCTCTGAAAACTTGAGGCATAACAGTATCATCTCTTGAAAACACATCAGGAGTTGATATTGGACTTAAATATTCGGTTCGTCTCCAAAAGTCTTCATGAACACTACTGCATACAGATGCAGGACTAGGAGGTACCTCAGTGTAATTCTCCTGGAGAGCATATAACAGAAAATCAAATTATTTATTTAAACAACTATGTATGAAATATAGAACTCATCATCATGGTAAAGAGTCGAAAACTAAATATATGACGAACTTACATGTCGCTCGCTGCCACAGTTCATAAGCACTGTTGGGCCACTTCTGATATCTCTCATTGCTGGAAGGTATTCCTTTCCGTGTGAGTAATGTGTATTTATGTTACCCTTGGATAGGGTTTTGAAAGGTGTTAAGGACTCCTCATAGCATAAACTATTAGTTAGAATAAACCTTCTTCTTAATGCAGGTTTTGTTATCTAGAATAAGCTTCTTAAATTCAAAGGGTGTTTCAAGTTCATATGGTTCTAGCCTTCAAAAATACCGAAAATCTGCCGAGGCTGTAATGTGCGGCCTTCTTCTAAATTCTCCAACAACCACAACAAGCAGGTATGTAACTTTGCTGATTTCAATACAATATATGGTGGCATGGACTTGTTTGTAAGTGATGATATTAAGCCTGAACTTTCGTGGAGAGTGGAGAAAAGATTTCTAATCATTCTTTTCCCATGAAATGCTATTCTCTGATATAGATGGTGTGATATGGGTGAGCGAATGGAACTCTGCAGCAGCCTGTTGCATCGACATTCTTAGCTTCTATTTACAGCGACTATATGCTTACATTGCAAACTGCCAAAATTAAATGCGATTCAGATTCCTACACCCCAAAAGATCTTCGAAACTTCGCCAGATCTCAGGTATGCATCCATGTTTTCATTTTCGCATAATATCACCTTCGAGTTATTCTAAATTGAAAATCTGTTTCTTAATACTTCCAGGCTGATTACGTGTTGGGCAAGAATCCTCTGCATATGAGTTATCTGTTTCTTAGAACACTTGACTTATGTGGTTGTGTCCTTATAATAGGTACTTCATTCGCGCTATTTTATATATACTCTATCCAATTAGTTAGTTGTGTTGTTCTTAGTTTTTGTGATTAACAACAGTGCAAACATGACTCTGATGTTGTTGCTGCAGATGAAAGTGTAAAATGAATAACAAGATGTGGGAAACTGTGAGTGGTGAAAATGATGAGGATGGTTTAAGGACTTTGAACATTAGCCCGTGTACATCACTTACTCCTTCAGTTGTTCAGGCTGTTTGTGACTCATTCTCTGCACTTCACAATGGTGCTTTGGTTGTGTTACTACATGGAATTTATGCTGATTAAATGCTTTTAATGTTGACTTAATTAAATGATAATGGAATTAATGCCATCAATGACCTTTTTAAGTAATCAATTTAATTTTGGATGATTGTTTGTTAATAGGAACATGCAACTATTTGTGAAATTGTTTGGATGATTGTAAAACTGTTTGTGAAATTCTTTGAGTCAGCAACAAAATTCTGTTTTAAAAAATATGTATTCTTACAATTTATGATTTAATATCAAAGAATGATATTTGGTTAAGCTGAAAAGAATTTCACCTGTTATTTGTTTTTGTGGAATTGAATGTCTGATTGAAGTTTCAACAAAAACTAGATCGGTATTCCTTGTTTTTGTGTAATTAATTGAATGTAAATTGGAGTTTCTAATTGAATTGAAAGTAAATTTATGGAATAAAAAAATAACTTATGATAGGAATACTTATTTGAAAGTAAATTGTCTGATTCTACAATTATGGAATGACCGAGGAAGTATCATGTTGAAGAAATAACTCCAATCAGACATTCAATTCCACAAAAACAAATAACAGATGAAGTTTCTAATTAATTGAATTGAAAAATGTAAAAAAAAATCATAATTTTTGAGTGGGTTTAAAATTGGATTGGCCCAACAATTAGCTAAAACCGAAAAAAACCGATCTAGTTAACCGAACCCGAAAAAATTCGAATCCAAAAAAACCGATAGTTGAATTGGTTGGAGTTGGGTTAATATATATCACCCGAGGGTTGTGCCGGTTTGGGGTTTTGGGCCCGAACCCGAACCGGCCCGAACCGATGTCTACCCCTAGTATCAGTTGATATTGCGTTAGAGGGGGGTGCGTTGTTGCCTATACCAGATGTTGTTTCAGACGCAACAGTGGTGGGAGACGCAATAGGAGCGTATGTTGCATGGCCGACAAATCTCCTTTTCATAGATGATGAGGTATGTTGAACACCATTATGAACCTTGTAATATTCAAATGTTTTACGACCCATAGATGAAAGTTATTCTTACATTTACATTTTCTTATTTACATGATGATCTTAGACTCCTACAAAATCCAAATCAAAAGATAAGGGAATCATTGTGCGGGAAACCGATTCAGCTGCATCAAAGAAACAGGTACTACTACAGTTACATGATTATCTTATTATACATTAATTACTAAACTTATATGACTTTTAGGTTCATGATCAACAGTTGCAACAAGTCAGCAAGGGTAAGATGCCTGAATCTTCCAAGGTGCCCAACAAAAAAAAAGGTTGAGCCAAAAAAAGTATCTGTTCCTCGATTTTGGTTGTGCCTTGAAACATATGTAGGAACAACAGATGTGACTGAGGGTGGCATCCGTCAAATACCTATGGAGGAAGGTATTTTCGATTTTGAATATACCGAAACAATTGCTAAGGAGGATTTGGACCAAGTTTTCCAACATTCTGAATTAGGCGTCGGTGTTATGCATTCCTACATCAGGTACTCCGATCCATTTTAATTAAATAATTGAACATTTTAAAATTTGCTCATTTAACTGAATATTCTAATGTTGATTATGTTTTTCTTTTAGGCTCTTGTATGACAAGTTGTTGGTCCCGCATGATTTGACTTTAATATTCACATTCTTATCTGCTAGATGTATCAACTCATAGGCAATATATCACACACCAGATGTAGTCAAATATTACATAGTCCAAAGATTTATGGCCGCGACTACAGAGAAGTTGTTCTTGTTGTCATATAATACTGGCCATGGGTATGACTTCATTCTAAATTAATTTATTATAATTATATGATTTTTGCCATTCTATATAACATTTCCGTTTAAACTGTTGTCTTATTTTATAGTGGACACTGGTTGTTGGTCGCGATTAATTCGATGAAAGAAATAGTGCATTATCTAGATTCATTGGATGGCGATCAAACAAAATATCCTGATATGAAGAATATGATTGATACGTAAGTGATGAGATATATTGTTCTGAATAATTATATATCTTTATTTATTATGCGACATTGTTCTAAATATGCGTTTATATTATGTTAGAGTTATACAAATATTCAGAGCACAAAGACAAGCAACAGTGCCAAAAAGTAAGGCTAACAACATTAGCTGGATCAGAGTGCAGGTATTTTTTCTCATTTTTTACTGTTATAGTGGTCCTACTTGATAAAACTATGTAAACTATATATCCTGATAAATGTTCGTTTGTTTTATCCATTTACAGTGTCCTCGTCAGCGCAATGGGATTGATTGCGGATATTTTGTATTGCTCTTTATGAAGAAAATTATTCATTCTGGTCAAATAGAGATTCCAATCATGGTATGGATCAATTCATATATTATATGATTCATTTTGATAATTAACCGATGTTTCATCTGAGTAATTAGTTTTAAAACTAAATTGTGCATGTTCTGTTATATTATGTAGTACTTTATGAATTCAAGTACGGTACTTACTCGAAAGCAGGATTGAAAGAAATAAAGGAGGAACGGTGTTAATTTATTCTTGAGTTGAGAATTGTATAAGGTATATGTATCATCCAATATTGATGTGGGATAATAATATTTCTAGAAGTCGTATCTATTTGTAAAGTTAACGGATTTGTAATTATATGTAAATTGACTGTATTTGTGATGTTGTAATTCTGAGGATCGGATTGTGTTGTAATATATTTAAGCAGGTTTATGTGTATTAAAATGATTATGGGAAAAGTGATGAATTACAATGTATACTTAAAGGGCAAAGTGTTGAATTGTATATATAAGGCCAAAGTGTTGAAATAAAGGCCTGAATTATAAGCAGGGAATATAATATAAGCAGGTTTATCGAAAAATATATAAAAAGTGTGATTATTTATAAAAAAAATTTAAATCGTGAAGATTAGACAACGCTTTTACAAAAAAGCGCTGCTAAAGGGGACACAGAGAACGCTACAAAAGCGCTGCTATAGGTGGGGAAAGGGGGGGTCTAAGAAAGCGCTTTATAAAAGCGCTGCTAAAAGGGGGTTTCTAAGAAAGCACTTTAAAAAAGCGCTGCTAAAGGGGGGGTCTAAGAAAACGCTTTCTAAAAGAGCTGCTAAAGGGGGGAGGGGAGGGGGGAATAGGCAGCGCTTTTATAAGCGCTGCTAAAGGGGTAAAAAAGCACTGCTAAATGTGTTGCTAAAGGGAGCCTTTAGCAGCGCTTTTTCCATAAAAAAGCGCTGCCTTTACCTTTAGCAGCGCCACTTTAGGCAGCGCTTTTAAGTGCTGCTAAAGGCCAAAGAAAGCGCTGCTAAAGATCTTTTTTGGCATAGTTCTTCTTAGAAATAAATTTTTAATAATTTTATAATAGAATTTAGGTTGTTAGAATTAAATAGATTTTTTTTTTCTTTTTATTAGAATTTGGTTAAATGTTTTTAGATATAATTTTAGAAATGGATATTAAAATTACTAGTTTAGGTTTTTGATTAGTTTTAATTGGTTTTTTAGAATATATTAGAATTTAGAATGTTTTTACTCAGATATTTTTTTTTTAGAAAATAGATTTTTAGTAATTAAGTTTATTTAGAACTAGTTTTTGATTAATTAGATTTATTTAGAGCATTTAAGCTAGATTTTTATTATTAGGTTAGAGTCCAATTTAATTAAACTTTAGTTTTTTTGTTATTTAATATAGATTTGTTTTTGTTATAAGTTAATGAGTCATCTTTAGTTATCATCAGCATTTTCATTATTGGTTTAGTCAGCATTAATCATCATCAACATTTTTAATCATCGGGATTAACATGTCATAACCAAGTCTTTGCTTCGCCACATGTCGAACAGTGGGTATATAACCCACTATTCATTTTCTTCTTCATAGAACCCTAGCCGTGTTACTGTTCATCCACCCCATCCCTCTCATCGCATCATCATCATCACCTTCATCAGCAAAGAAAAAACGCCGCCTCCACGCACAACCGGCCACCGCGAACTATCAACCATCGTCAACCTCAAAG